AACTCCGGGAAGATTGTTTTCTAAAAAAATACAAGTATTGCCGAGACCGGTTTGGCTCAGTGGATAGAGCATCGGCTTGCAGACTGAAAGGTCCCAGGTTCAATTCCGGTCAAGGGCATGTACCTTGGTTGCGGGCACATTCCTGGTGGGGGGTGTGCAAGAGGCAGCTGATCGATGATTCTCTCTCACTGATGTTTCTAACTCTCTATTCCTCTCTCTTCCTCTCTGTAAAAAAAAAAATCAATAAAATATATTAAAAAAATAAAATAAAATAAAAAAATACAAGTCTAAAATGAGTCATATGAAAATTAAAATACATTGGATCTTCTTTCTTGACTTTACACTGGTGACACTTTCATAATCATCTATACAGATTGAGACTATCTAGGGACAAAGTGAAGGACCACACTTGTTGAATCTATTTTAAATTCAATTTACAGGCATACGATATTTGCCAATTATCTCAACTAATAATAAGAACATAATATAATTAAATATCTCCTTATATCTTACTTGACATACTACTACCTGTGTTTCCCTGAAAATAAGACATCCTCTGAAAATAAGACCTAGCGCATGGAAAGATAAGACATCCCCTGAATATAAGACCTAGCGCAACTTAGGGAGAAAAAATTAATATAAGACACTATCTTATTTTCGGAGAAACAGAGTAGTTAAGAGGATGTGCTTCAGAGACAGTGGATCTTGGTTCTAATCCTTATTTCACCGCCTTACTATGAAAAGGGATAACACAGACGTCATAAGGATAATAATATATGCCAGCACAGAAGAGCATCATCAAATAAGAGCCCAATAAACTATAATTACCATTATTATGATTATACTCATAGAAATTTTATGAAGACAGAACAGGGTGTTTTTATAATCCATTTAGAAGTGGAACAATCAAATCTTGTGGAGTATCAATGTTTCATGTTCATAAAAAGTATTACATCAGTGGTTAATATGAAACAAACAAAAATAACCCAGTCTCTATTTTTGAGGAGTTATTAATTAAGGTGGGGAAGAAGACAGTTATGGGATAAATCAGGATATGACATTTGGGATAAAGTTAGTCAGAAAAGGTGACTTGGTGGAGGTTAGTTTGATTGAAGTGTAGAATTCTGTGGGTTGTAATAGAAGAAAGGGGCAGTAAGAATAATATGGAAAAAGCACAGAAGCCAGATTCGCCTTAATAACTAAACAATATACATTTTCAAGTCTAATCCCAGGACAAAAAAGTATTACTATCTAATATTCATAGCAATATTCTTAACCAAAGTCTGTTGTATTAATTGAGAAAAGAAATGTTTGGTTAAATAGAATAGAAGATATTTAAATTTAAAGGACCAAGGCTAGTTCTGTCCTTCATTTAGGTGAAGCATGCATTTCTCAAAGGGTTTAGAGAAAGGCCTGTTCTCAGTCTACACTTGGCCCCCATTCCCAACACAACCATCTACCTCCCATCTTGAATTGCTAAATAAGAAAATAGTTTTCTATTCATATGCAGATTAAAAAATGCCCTCTCTGTCTTCACCATAGTAATGACCAAGCTTGGAAATAAGATTAGCGATAATGTTGTGGGATAAAGTTGTAAACTAGTTAAGATCTACCATAGTATTTTCCTCATAATGTTTATTTTCCTTGTAGCCTGAATTTCACCAGGCCCAGTTCAGCTTCATCAGTATTAATTGAGCACCTACACTTGAGGCTCTAATTGGAGCTCTGAGAGTCCAAAAATACATGCCTGTATCTTTAAAGTCTAACTTAATGTCTAGCTAAGAGCTAAGACTTGAAGGGAAGTAATGTAAATGCTTTAGGATATCTTGAAACAGATTCGGGGCAATTTAATCTTTTTTCTTTATGTTTAGAACTGTTTTTGCCTTTATAGTAGCATTCCAAAGGGATATTCATATTCTGAGATGAATAGCAACTAGCAACTGCTGTGTCAGCTGCTTCTATAAATAGCATAACTCTAGTAATACTTGAATGCCCAGTTTCTAAAAGTGCTCATTTGAGAGCCAGCTCCACAGAAATAAAATAATCTATATTTTCTATCAGTTGGGCAATAGACCCACAGCAGTAAAGATCGAGCATAAGAAATGGAGCCTTTCTTTTTTTCTTATATTTTTATTTATTTCAAGTAAATTTCCTAGATTTCCCTTGACACTTATTTTGTGCCACTTCAATTTTATTCTGAAATACAGAGATGGACTTGACAAAAAAATACCACTATTTTATGTTTTCAAATAATTGCATTTTGATAGAATTCTGAAGTGGCAAAGATTTTTAACAACACTGTAGTGTTTTCCCCCTGCTCCATGAGGCTTATTTTTTTTTAATGTTTATTACATGCAAGTTTAATTATATAAAATAGAAGAAAAAGGGCAGAGGCACTAAATTAAAATAGCTATGAAAATTGTTATAACTACTTAAGCTTAGCAGAACACATTTCTATTTTGATGACTTTTTAGGGAGATTTTTTTTTTTTACCATGATCAACATTTTACTTATATATTACTTTTTATGGCAACCTACCATTACATTCTTTTTGAATGATCATAGTAGAATAGCAAACACATATTAAAAATTCCCTCAAACTATGTCATGATATATACCAAACAATTTTATTACAATAATTTACAGCTTGAGAAATAAGAGCCTGGGAAATTCTAAGTATATTCCAATTCCCCAGTTTTTGTGAAAAACTGTACTAGCGTGGTTGAAATTCAGTGGATCTTGGTAAAAGATGTACTGAAGAACTAAAATACAACTGTTTTTCCTGTGTTTTCTACAACCTGCCAATTTCATTTCCTTTTCTCTGTGCTCTCTCTGTGGGTTCACTTGGATGTTGGTGAGCTATGGCTTGCCTTTATTAGACTCCTGTGAGCAGTGACAATGAATGTGCACAATTTACTGTATACACAAGTGGCTTTTTCTGCCCTCTAGGCTAGTATCAAGACCATTTCTCATTGGGAAGTCAGACAATATAATTAAATCCTACTGACACAGGCATTGGTAAATTCCTATTGGCATACAAGTGGAAAGAAATATGGGAAAAAAAGAAAAGAATAAAAATAGCATAAGGGGAGGTAAAATCAGAGAAAAATGCAGGAATGGGAGGAAAGATTAATCAGAAGTAATTTAACTCATCAAAACAAATAAATGCAATATAAGCATTGTCTTTCTGCAATCATAGGAGATTTATAAGATGAACAAAGAGAATATTATAAAAAGGCCAGCATTCTCTATAAATGTTTAGGCAATGGAGATAATTATTTCGCTACTTTCTCTTGAATAAAGAAAAATTCAGCTTCTATTTATTTCTAGATCATTTGAATGAGAAAGTTCCAGAATACCTCTCCTACCTAACATCATAAACTTAGGTTTATGATAGAGATGCTGAAGCTGTGAATATTTAAAGATGACTTCTGAGTTATCACAACATTTTAAATAATTAACTCATTTGTTAATAAAATACATTAATAAATGCTTTTGGTATTACAACATTGTAACATATTCTAGTTCTTTAGGAAGTATATTTGCTCTAGGTCACAATTAGCCTACACTTAAGAGCCAACATGGAATCTAATCCAGGTATACTCCATCGAAGACCAGTCCCAGACACTCTGAAAAAAAATTATTGACATTACTTTTATAGTCATTTCTGACTACAAAAAACGCTGGGAATTGCTGCTTGAGATATGTAATTTGTGTGTGATATAAAACAGGCAGTAAATTTCAGCTACAGGGATACTCCACTGATAAAACTAATATCTCATTTCTTACTCTACATATTCTGGATAAATTAGCATGTCTTCATGTAAATTGGTAACACTGATATGGACACTACTTATAGCTTAAAATAAAAACCTTAATGAAGTCAAAGAGTATTTGTTTGCTGTTTGTGTTTCATGGTATTTTATTCTTTTCTTTCAAGTATTTTGTTTGAATTTGAAAAAATTGCATATATTGTACTGCATTGAAGTAAGATGGTTTCAGTGCATTGCAATGCAACAGAAAAAGCAGTTTAAGACCAGTTAATTCTCAACTTCTTTGAGTTTTTTCTCTCTTGATTTTTTGTCAGACCTCATGAATAAGATGATGACTCAGATAAATATAAGCCCAAATTCTCTCTGATGAATTATTGACTGATTGGTCAGTGTGTGGCTCTGGACATCAGAATAGAAAAAAGAAGTTGGCATCTTGCTGAATTTGGCCAAGGCTTCTAAATATTTCCATAATGGGACATAAAGAACCCAATGATGCCCACTCCTCACCCAAGCTCTCAGTAAAAGAAAGACCAACCATGGAAGCCAGCTCTCTGCAAATAATCTCCCTTTGCAGTGTTCCAGATCTAGGTGAAAGGCACTCAAATAATAAAGAAGCTGGGGTGAGGAGAGACCTCTTTGTGTGTGAGTCAATGGGTCCATGTTGTTAATTAATCTTAATCTAACCTTGCCAACAGCACTTGCAAGATGTGATGGGTGAGGAGAGACCACTGCTTGATTCAAACCAAGAAGGCAGTTGATAGGTCTTACTTAGGAAATCTCTTAGTAAAAAGAGTTGACACTGGAGTTTTCATAGATAGATGTTGGAAAGTGAATAGTCTTTCAATAAATGATTCCTAACATAAGTTTCACTTTGGGAGGTAGGGACTAAGAGAGTAATATAATGTGTATATTTTGAATTGCAATTTTATTTAACTTAAATATATATATATATATATATTATTGATTTTTTTACAGAGAAGAAGAGAGAGTGATAGAGAGTCAGAAACATCAATGAGAGAGAGTCATCGATCAGCTGCCTCTTGCACACCCCCTACTGGGGAAGGGCCCTCAACCAAGGTACATGCCCTTGACTGGAATCGAATCCTGGACTTTTCAGTCTGTAGGACGACGCTCTATCCACTGAGCCAAACTGGTTTTGGCTTATTTAACTTTTTGATATCACCCCTATGAGAAGTTACATATACAGGGGAAACTCCCAGGACTTACATCTCTTCCAACCAGATCCTCCTGGTTTTCCACGATTCCCCAGGGGGCAATGCCGATGGTACATATCTTCCCTCGAGACTTAGATGCATGGTCCTTCAAGGCATCGCCAACATGACGAATCACACCTAAGAGGAAAAAGAGAAGTATGACTCTTGCCTTTTAAAGCAATTACTTTCCATTGTTCTAAAATAAACTGTGAGAACGATTTCTCCCAAGATTAAATGTACTGAATACACAATTTTGACACATTTCTGTACAAACTGCATCGTTTATGTGAATATAAACTTGTGCCTCTAAGGCCAGATACATTTATTTGCCAAGACTTGTAACATGAACTCCAGCAATGCATTTCTTATCCCATCTTATATGAAAAAAATGCATCTAACTTCTATAAAAACATAAATATAATTGTGTATAATGATGTATTAAGTATGACTAAGAACCAATTCTATGACTGTATTCTATAAAAAGCACAATATGTAACATTATATTAAATTTATACCACAGTTTGTAAGAGTTAGGGTCAAATAGAATAGTGTCAGCTCAGATTTTGTCAACCTTGATTTCATCTTTCAATTTGTGGACACATCTTTCAATAATGTGCAGACCTTATTTGGAAAGAAAATGTTGGCATATTCCATGGAAAGTTCATGTTAAAAATACATATCCATTGGTTATGTTTATATGCATGCATGCAAGTCCTTTGGTTGATCTCTTACAGCCCCCTGCCCCCAACCTCCCTTGCCTTCCCACTATAGTTTGTTCAAAGTTTCTTTATCTCTATAACTATAGGAGATGAAGGCATATGCGGGGAAGTGGAGGCTGAGCGGAGGTCAAAAGGAAAAAATAGGAGACATATGTACTACTATTTGTAATCCTTCAAACAATAAAAAAATTCCAAAAAAATAAAAATATATAAATATACCTTTTTATCTTTATCATTCTAATAGTTTTACTCTCCTATTATAATGGCTTTCCCCATCACTGTAGCTAAAAGTGAGAAATTCAGCCCTAGCCAGTTTGGCTCAGTGGATAGTGTCAGTCTGTGGACTCAAGGGTCTAGGTTCGATTCTGGTCAAGGGCATGTACCTAGGTTGTGGGCACATTCCCAGTAAGGGGTGTGCAGGAGGCAGCTGATCAGTGTTTCTCTCTCATCGATGTTTTTAACTCTCTATCTCTCTCTCTTCCTCTCTTTAAAAAAAAATCAATAAAATATATTTTAAAAAGTGAGAATTTAAGTTTATAAAATGGTTGGAGACCTATAATTTATCTTTTTATAAACAATCTAAAAAAGATTCAATTAAAAATCTTTTTGCCTCCCTCTTCAATGGTAATTTTCATATAACATATGAAATATATTCTCTAAGAGAAGATGTTTCCACTTACAAAATTTCCACCCATTGCTCAAAGAAAACTTCACACCTAGTTCCATCTCCTCCTATATGAAAGTTGAGTTCGATTTTATTTTGTCTAAGTCTAAACAGGATATGGTTTGCATATCTTGAATAGCTCAATATGTCCCCCCCCATATTCTGTCATGAATCATAATTGCACATGAAGATGGTCCCTCTAAGTGTAAAACTCCTTGGGGGGGGGGGGGAGGTCAGTAAAGCACAGAGTAAAGGCTCACAAACCATACAATGAACTAAGCACACAAAACACACCAGGTGCCAAAACCAATTTTGCTCAGTGGATAGAGGTTGCTCTGTGGACTGAAAGGTCCCAGGTTTGATTCCAGTCAAGGGCATGTACGGTACATTGGTTGTGGGTACATCCCCGGTAGGGGTGCAGGGGGCAGCTGGTTGATGTTTCTCTCTCATTGATGTTTCTAGCTCTCTATCCTTCTCCCTTCCTCTCTGTAAAAAATCAATTAAAAAATATATACATACACACACACACACACACACACACACATACACACACATGCACGCACCATACATGTGTAAACAACTCGATTCTGAGATATTTGTAAGAGGAAACAGAAAGATCCTCATTTAAAAAATCAAATAACAAAATAGTGTAAATAACCACTAATCTACATTGAGCTATTCTGGAAGTATTGGGAAGAATATCAATTTTACTTATTAGCTTATCTATGGATCTCATAAGTGAGAGCACTGGTTTAAAATATAAGAAACAAAGCTGTGAATATTCATATTAAAAATTCCCCCAATTTATATGCAAAATTCCTTTCAGGGTAGTCCTGGACAAGAAGTTAATGCCCTTCCATCTGCCATAATGCCACCATTATCTCTTATGCAATCTGAGTGTGTCACCATTAGAACCTCGCAATGAGTACTGCATGGCACATCAAGCCTGGAATGAGGCAGAAAGGAACTCTTCGGCTTTTGTATTTATGTTGTAAATTCTTCTCTTGTTATTTGATGTGCTTTATAAAAGAAGAAAAACAAGTATTCAGAAACAAAAGATTGGTATGAATTTTTTTAAAACCTTTAGCAATTTTGAGTTGGTCTCTGTATGAGGTACAAGTTATGTCAGGAGAGCAAACCAGTGAATAATCCCAGGCGAATGGTGCCTACTAAGCTGTGAGTGAAAGATGGAGCCCTAAAGCCTAGCAATTGAAAGAAAATTGCCCTGTAGATGTTTGATCACTACACAATAAACAGTGAAGAGCTGACTGAGCAGGCCAACCTAAGATCATGTCAGTTATAGACTAAGCCAGGATTTCACAATAACAATGAAGAGCTTGGGCAATCCTCAGAGTTCACTGCTGAAATGTGCACATGGAGTTCCATGCTGAATGCTCTCAAATTCTAGGTATTGAGGAGAATTCTGAGTGCAGGTCTCACTCAAACATCATCTAAACTATAAACTAAAGAATAAACAACATTGAGATCATATTTTATTTAAAACTTGTTGGTCCAGGGTAATGTTAGAATATTCCACTACCTCCAAGTTTGCCTACATCTGCAGACTTTGAGTCTCATAACAAGTTTGAATTAACTCACTGTGGCATTACTTGTGTACTTTCAATTGGCACTTCAGATCAGGCTGGGGAAATATGTCAAAACAATTTACAGGCATCTATTCCACTCTCTGTTGCACATTAATTCTGCAGATTAGCACTTAAGTGTAAGTGGATTTGTAGGAATTGGTCTGACAACCTGCCTGTATCACAATGTAGAAATGTCTTTGCAGGTTGAAAAAAAACTATTTGGAATTCAGAGTGAAGTGTATCTTCTACTGATGTAGAGATTATTTAATAAAATTGAAATAGCAAGCAAATAATATTCTTGACTTTGCTATAATAATTTATGTTCCAGATGGAAAAGGCATTTTACAAAAATTAAAGCTATTTCCATCAAACTTAAAATCAATTTTAAAACAGAAGCAGAGCTTCTAATTTAGAGCAAAAGTTATTCCTTAAAGAATTATTGGGTACAGCAAAGGCATATAATATTGTAATAAATATGTATGTGTCAGGGGATATTGGACTTACTGGGGGATAACTTCATTAGTTATATAAATGTCTCATCACTATGCTGATCACCCGAGACTAATATGATATCAAATGTTAGCTGTATTTGAAAAATAACAAAAAAATTTTTTAAAAAGAATTATTGGGTGCTTACTTGGCAACTTGAGATATTGAAAATATCCTATGATATTACATTAGTCATATTTAAAAATTCTGTATAGTCAAATATTAAATATCACAACCTGTTTCTTTTGCGTAAGTAATTCTACTTGATTGAGAAATAATGGCAGAGTTATTATTTAGGTAAAGGAGAGAGAGAGAATGATGACAGAAGAGATAACTAGTGAGTAGAGACACATGGGTAGGAGAAGTTGGGGGGATATAAATATATTTAACTTTAGGAGAAAATTATCTTAGTCACAGTCCTCTCGTGGCTTACGTTGCCTTTCTCTGCCCCACTCCCAGTTACCTGTGTTAACCCCTCCAGTGAATATCCACGCTCCGGTCGTCATGGCTGCTTTGATAAGGCCTTTCCCAAAGACTTGCTTGAGTTTTGGCTGGAGTTCAAAGTTCTGCAGGCCTCCATGGACAGAGATGAGAAGCTTGGGAAGCTCCAGCTGCCATTCCTTGGTCATCAGGTGTAAGAGGAGATCAGGCTTTGTATCGAAAGATACTCGCACATACTGGAAGAAGAACAGCCATGGATTAGACAGGGCAGGGCTGAGTGGGGCTTATTTTTAGTGACTGCAGTGACGAATGAGATGTGTACTTACTTGAGAAAATGTCTCATATGAACCCAGATTTTTAAAAAGGGGTAAATCATCTTTACCAAATGAGCCTCATTAGACAAAGGGAGACACTATTTTTAAAGGTTTTATTGGAATTGTGAATAACTACAAACTTTCAAATTATTTTTCTTAAATGAAGCACAGGCACAATTTTTCCTGGAATATGCTCTTTCCTAAAAGGAAATAATGTTTATATTTTACTGGCATTAACATTTGTGCAACAATTCAAATGTTTCTAATATTTTCAATATAACTGATTCCTTTATGCCAGCTGGACCTGGATGTAATGTTTCTGTGACCCTATTATTTTAAGAGGTTTGAAAAAGTTCTATCGTTCTACATAGTGTAATGAGAATCTATTATACACTAATAAAAGAGAAAAATGCTAATTGACCATACCTTCGCTATGCCCACAGCCAATCAGAGTATGCAAATTAACCCAACAAATATGGAGGCTAATTTGCATATCCATGTGCAGAGCAGTGTGAAACCTACTATGAGGGGAAGGAGGTGGCGGAGGGAGCTACTGGAGTGGTGCCTCAGACAGAAGCAAGGACTTGCCGGCTCTGGGAGGCCTGGGAGGGGGATATGCCGGCTCCTGGGTGGCCCGGTAGAGGGGACTTGCTGGCTCCTGGTGGCTGGCTGGGAGTGAAGCCAGGGGCCTATTGCACAAATAGTGTGCAATGGGCCTCTAGTTTTAAAATAAGGTAACAGCTGATTATATTTATTTAAATCTGTAGTAACTGCATACCAAAAGTTTTTTTTTATCTTTCAAAGAAGACAAGTGACAAAAGGCATGCAAATTTCTCTTGCAGCATAGTTGGGGGGGAAAAATCAAAATGTATAGCATCTATATTGCCAGATACACCCAGAAACAAAGTTGTGACAAGTAACTTATAAATGAAATGCCATAAATACATATAATAATAAATCTATCTATCTACCTCTCTCTGTCTCTCTCTCTCTGTCTCTCTCTCTCTCTCTCTCTGTCTCTCTCTCTCTCTCTCTCTCTCTCTCTCTCTATATATATATATATATATATATATATATATATATATATATATATACAATTAAACTGAGTAACTAAATATAGTTATTTATATCACCATATACATAGCTACTTTTAGGCCTCAGTTTAATTGTATAAAGCCTTCCATTTCCATCTGGAAACAATGAAAATACTGGGAAAATATATTTGAAAGCCTGTTGTAATGCAGTGCTGAGTTGTCATGAAAAGAGGGAATATCCTGATTCCTAAACAGAGTGGAAGCTGGATCTCAGGAGATAAGGGAGCACCAAAGCAGACTTTAACCCTGTCAGTTCCTCCTAAACCCTGGAAGACCTTGGGTATCTGCTCTAATGGGTTTATGCAGTGTGGGTGAGTCTTACTAGGGATCCCCTATAAACCTGGGATACTTCGGAGGCCTCCACCCTCAAGATTAAGGAAGAAAAAAATAAGTCTGATGTACAGAAGAGATCAGGAAGTTTGCCTATTTACCTTTTCCCCTAAATAGAAAACAAAATTCCCCTCTGATTAATTATAGACAAAAATAGATCCTCACGAAGATTTTGGCCCATATCTACACTATTACCATGGTTTCAGAAACTCAAACACAGTAATGTATAATGGTTTTGTTGGGGTAATGGCTCCAGCTAGCTAGCAGAAACAAATGTAAATTCTCTGTGTAGGAATGTTCCATCAATCAAGATCTCAAATAATTTCCATGGGAAAATAATAATTTCATAGTAAAATAATTACACAAGGGAATAAAGCAGCATGAATGGGAACAAAAGGAAACAACAGACAGTAGAATAAGATCCTCAAAGATATTGAAATGATCAGACACAGAGTATGAAATAGCTATACCAGTATGTTAAAAAAAAACATATATGGGAAAACTGAATATGTGAGCAAAGAACAAGAGATTATAAGGAATGACCACATTCATTTGAAAAATAATAAAAAATAGAAGATTTCTAAAATTAAAATATAACAATTTAAATGAAAAATAAAGCGATAAATTAAACTACCAAACAGACATGCTAATGATATATCCAGAGAAATAAACCAGATGCCACCTAGAAACTAAAGAATTGAAAACAGAAGAAAAATGGAGCCCCTTGGAAACAATACCAGAATTCTTGATAGTGACAAAAGAGATTATGGTGAATAAGCAACACTTGAAAATAACGTGGCTGGGAATTTATCAGAATTGCAGACTTCTTTCCCCAAATCCTTTTTGAACATATTATTTTCCAACTCAAATTGTTATACCATACATAAACTCCCATTCTGCCTGTCCTGGACTTCCACAATTAGGCCTTGCCCTACTTATTCAGAGTCATTTCCCTACTTCTCTCTGTATTGGCTAATGTTGTTTCTTAAATCCTAGAAAATCTAGTCCCTCCGCTTTCATCTATTTAAATGATTCTAGTCTTTCGAAGACTTTCACTGACTTTTCCTGAGAATGCAAACTCATGTCAATGCTATTATCACTCTCAATCAAACCAGGTCTGATATTTTATTTCTGGTTGCTGTTTGCATGTGTCAGTTTTATCTCACTGCAAGATATTTCAGGAAAGGGGGCCATGTTTGACCTGACCATAATTTTTTCAGTACTGGCTATGTAGTAGTTACAACTTTAGAAATAAAAAGGATCTTGGGTTAGCAGTCATGGGAACTAGAAATCATCAGTTCAATTCTCCTGCTTTACAGATGAGGACAGTGAAACCTAGGGAAAATAAATAACAGGGACCTCAGAGCTAGTTATCTAATAACTAGAGGCCCGATGCATGAAATTTGTGCAAGAGTAGGCCTTCCTTATCCTAGCTACCAGCACCAGCTTCCCTCTGGCACCCTGGACCCAGGCTTCTCTTGCAGGCCCAGGAGGACATCCAGTCTAATTAGCATATTATGCTTTTATTATTATAAATTAACCATTCACTAATCCATTCTGAAAGTTATTGCCACACTGGGAACTCTAGGTTGAACCCAGACTAACATGTATGACTCACCAGGAGGAAAATAGGTTGGGGATGGGGGTTGAGGTTTGGCATTTCTAACCAGCTCCCCAGGGACCACGTTGGTAGCAAAGATTCAACTCTTTCTCAGACCAAAGATTCTAAGTGGTGTGTCTTGTGTCTGTCATTGGACCAAAGTAAAGAAAGGATACTCAATATTTTATATGAAATCAGAAAAATAGAGGAAATATTGGAAGAACTACTCAGGACAAGTCATATTAAATAGGAACATTAAGCATATCTCTAACTACTTAGTTCTTTGTTACCAGGAATAATTCTTATACAAAGGAACACACGATTGACTCCATTCCACTGCTGAAAAATAGCAAATACTGGGTGTCCTTGGTCCTTTGGTTTTATTTGTGGTTTATGGTGCCCTTCCCTTTGAGAATGAGAGTCAACATAAGAAAGAAAGAAGTATTTAAATAAAGCAATTTGTTACTTTTGGTTATATTATTGTTTAGCAACTCCATGAAATGGTTTTGGGTGATAAGAAAAAAAAAAAAATTCAGAGGTGTTCTAAGTTAAAGAGCAGGCTGGAGAGTGAAAGAGATGAAACTGCTGACCAGCTCACAAAGGACTTCTCACATTCCTGTCTTAACCCCTTGGAATTTTGGGTTAATTTCCAGGTGGGTATTTTCTCCCATTTCTTTTAGCCAGGCACCATCTAACTCCGGGAGCCTTTGCTCATCTACAGGTGATCTTTCCAGACTGCTGCCAACAGCCAATCTATAGGAATGGGCATTTCTTTAGGGGGACTCTGCTACCCCAGAGCTGGCCCTGCTTCATGGTCCCTCACACCTTTGCCCATAGCGCATGTGAATTCTGTCCGACTGCCTCTTTCTTTCCCCTTCCCCATACTGGAGGTGGGACAGTGGACATACCGTCTTTTCTACTTGGCCATTCCCCTGGTAATTTAGACGCCATGCCCTAAGACCAGTCATTGGTCTTAGCTTTTTTTATTCAATAAAACCTCACTTAGAAAAAATTTCAGTCATGGAAGTTAAAGATTTTTTAGTTTAAAATGAGCATAAGAAAATAATAAAACTATGGGATAAAATGTTTTTGTTTTTCTTTTTTTTTGGTAATATCTGAAGGTTTAAATTATATTCATATACCCATAAAATCAGGTTATTCAGTAAGCTCTCCAGGTGCCTGTCATACAACAGCCCACTCTTGTGCCAAATCAGCAGCTTCAATATCATAAATGATTGTTCCCGGAGCAATTCATCAATTTCTGCTAAATGGTCAATCTGGTTTGAAATGAGGAGCTATTTTGGTTGTCAAAATAAGCAGTTTGTCCACTTATGTGCTCATTAATTGCTAAGGTTTCACCTTACAAATAAGAAATCCTCCTCATGTCCTAGCCAGTTTGACATGAAGGTCCCATGTTTAATTTCAGCCAAGGGCACATACCTGGGTTGCAGGCTAGATCCCGAGTGTGGGGAGTGCAGGAGGCAGCTGATCAATGATTCTCTCTCATCACTGATGTGTCTATCGCTCTCTCCCTTCCTCTCCAAAATCAATAATAATATATTTTTTAAAAAGAAATCCTCCTCATGTGTATATTGAATTTTGTCACCCAGGCAGGACTTTGATGTGGTGACAATGTGCTTCCATTTCTTGATTTCCATTTATGTGCAGCATCACACTCTAGCATCAGATAGTGGCCCTGTAAGCCACCTGGCCAATTTGAGCACCCTTTCTTGTAAATAGGAATGATCCTGATCATCTCACAGGACATGGTAAAGATTAAACTGTGCAAAATCCCTGTTATGGCAGAAAACCTGCTACATGCAAACTGGGTGATGGTTATATAAAGACTTCTGCATACTAAAGAATTCAAATGACTTGCCTTTAGCTTTTACGAGTAA